CTGGAGGCCTCGTTGCCTGGGGAGTTGGCCCCGCAGTGGACAGCGCTCTGGGCACGAGCCAGGTGGTCCGGTGCCAGCACACGCGGGAGGGAGACAAACGGGACCCGCTGTGACAGGCCAGTAGTGCCAGCACACACTTGGGGTTAGTCCCAACTCCTCCAAATTAATGAGCAAGTTTACAGCCATCGCTGCAAGGACAAACCCTTTAATGCTCCGAACTAAGATTAAGTGCAAATCCTTCTATAAACTAACCACTACAACAAAGCCAACCTTCTGTTGTAGGCATCCCTTGAAGTGTAATTTTTCCTTAAATTGCATCACTATGAGCAAAGCCTGTCGTACAAGTTGAAACTCCTAGGTCACGTGAGTAAAAATGCAGTCTTATCTAAGGTGGAACATGCTCCCTGGGAATTTGTGGTGGCTACCAGAGTATGGGCTCTGATTCAGAGCTGGGGCCCCAGTAATCAGTGGGAGGAAGAGATGGGGGTGCCAGACACCCCCACATCATGTGCATCGGACTTGGGCTTGGCTGCTCCTGCCTGGCTTTCTGTACATCTATCAGCTGCCAGAAACTCTCTTTTCACTGTGTTCTCCTTAATAAAAATTTGGTTAGAATCGGCTTTTTGTAAGCAGAGTGCCAAGAGGCACTTCAGAAATGCAGTGTGTGGCTGGATGGGGCCTGAGGTCATTCCCTTCACGGTAGGAAGATTGTCAACAGAGACCAGGCCTGGGAACTGACACCCCCTGGAGGGGGGCACGGGGAGGATGTGGTAGAATAAAAAGATGAACAAAGTCAAGGACACCTGCAGGGAAAGCGATGCAAAAGTCCCACTGCTCACTGTTGGTTCACCAAGTGACATAGTTCTTTATTTTTATTTATTTTATTTTTTAAATGCAGACTGTTTAGTGAAGACTGGCTGTATTCAGAAGACCACCAGCCAAGGCCTCCAAATTTAAAAACTGATCAACAGCCTCTTGCAATGCTGGTGTAGATGGCAAAGATGTGGCTGGGGACACCAGGCCCAGAGTCAGACACTACCTTCAGTGTGTCAGTGAAGCCGGGGGGGGGGGGGGGGCAAACAACAGCCCGATGTTCCCTGACAGCTCACACGGCAATACCTCCAAGCAAGTGTCCCTTCCAAGTTTCCTGATGTGATGAACCCCATGAGAGCCCTGGCAGGACCTCCCCGGGCAGTGGGTGCTGCTGGGAGGTGCAGAGCTCCCCAGCGCTGTGGAGGGCAGTGCCCAGGACTGTAGGAGATTGGCTGCCCATAGCTGCCCAAGCACCCCGATAGGGAGCAGCCAGCTGTCTGTGAGTATGACATGCGCGGATGTCTCTCTCCTTTTATTGTTTTGTTTTGTTTTCCCTCTTGTTTTTTTTAAAGGCTAGTTGATAGTCACCAAGTTGATTTAAGAAGCCAAAGCAGGACTTCCTACCAGCTGAAGGAAGTAATGAGGTTCCCATCACAGGAAGCATTTAATTAACAGCTGAGAAAACATCTGGTGTGGATGGGTGGCAGTATCTGAGTATCACGTAGGATGTTTTTCTTGGCCTGGGTGCTGCTTCCTTAACATGTAGATCCCGGGCCCAGAAACCTGGAACTCCCTGAGCACCTGCATGAGGCTTATCACCAATGCCTCTAACTTCAACTAACAGATCCACGACTTACAGGTCTCCTCATATTGGTAAATCTTCTCGGCTAATCTTCTGCAGAGCCTGAGTCTGGGCCTATGCAGGGAGGGGTTCTGCTCCAGGAAGCTGGGGCCAGGAGAGTGAGGCAGGCCAGGAGAAGGCGTAAGGATCAGGGTGCTCTGTTGAGGGGGGTCCCCATCATGGTCCTTTCTGAGCAGAGAGCCCTTCAGCTCTCTCTGTAAGAGGTTGGCATCACTTCTGTGCTTGTTTCAACGTTTTAATATTCTGTTAAAATGGATGGGACCCTAAGCAAATAGGAATAAGTTTAATATTTTTAAAAGCTAACACTCAACGGCAAGAGTATGTTAGAACATGTCTTTGGAGGACACGTCTGGCCTTTTCACCACCGCCCACCGTGCCTGTCGACATGACTGCTGTGCTTCGTGAACTAAAGATGCGGAAGCATAAGAACTAATAGACAGCAACACGCATCAGCAGACCTGGGAAGAAAGGGGGTTTGCCCCTGGACCGCAGCTCTGGCAGGCCTGTCGCCTCTGGGTTTGTGCCCCAAGCAGCTGTTCAACAAAGAACAAGGTTGAACCAGCTGCCTCGAGATTGTGTCTGTCCTGAGCCTGCCTGCAGCAGATTAGTCGAGAAGATTTACCAATGTGCAGAGACTTGTAAATCATGGATCTGTTAGTTGAAATTAGAGGCATTGGTGATAAGCCTCACGCAGGTGCTCAGGGAGCTCCAGGTTTCTGGGCCCGGGATCTGCATGTTGGCTGCTGAGTCTCGCAGTTTGCAGAGTGGAGGAAGCGGCATGAGATATTCATGTAGCTGAGCGGGGCCCGAGCCAGGAGCCAGGAAGAGTTAGCACGTGCGGCCTCTCCCTCGTGGGCGCTTTGCTCAGAGTGACCGAAACTCGCAGAGCCTGCTTCCTGACTGTGAAGGGGGTGACGGCAGTGGGGGCGACACAAACCTGTGGGCTGCCAGGAAGAGGTGAACAAGTTCTGACACGTTCACCTGTTACCCCTCACGGGATGATGCCTTGGCTTCTTGTCAGCCACTAAAATGAAGAAATGTGGCAAAGCCTGGCTGGCGTGGCTCAGTGGTTGAGCATCGACCTATGAGCCAGGAAGTCATGGTTTGATTCCCAGTCAGGGCACATGCCCGGGTTGTGGGCTCAATCCCCAATGTGGGATGTTTCTACCGCTCTCTTCCTCTCCATTTCTGAAATCAATAAAAATATCCTATAAAATAAAAGACCAATATGCAAATTGTCCCCTCGACCAGAAGTTTGACCGCTCACTGTGATGTGTGCTGACCACCAAGGGCCGGCGTGGAACACGACAGGCGGCGCTGGCAGCGGGTGGCAGTGGAGGTGCTCCTGCCCCCATGGGCCCCGACGAGCATAGGACTGCGGCGGGATGGTGGAGCAGGTAAGTGGGTGGTGCCAGGCCAAGGCGGGTGTGAGCAGGGTGACCAGTTCCGGCGGCAGGGGGTAGGGATGCCGCATGGCTCCCAGGCGCTGAGGGAGCCGGGTGGGGCCCAATGACTCAGGCGGATGGGGGTCCGTGGGGGTCTGGGAGCCCAGGTGCTGCCCAGGGCCCAGAGGTCAGCTGGGACGTGCCCTTCCACGCCAGACATTCGCGCTTTGGTCGCCAGCCAGACCTAGGGACTGCACTTGAGCACAAATTTTGTGCACCGGGCCTCTAGTATATATATAAAAAGAAAGAAAAATAAACATGACAAAAAGGTCAGATTGTGGGTTGATGGGTGGTGTCCATTACTCCTGACACAGGGCCCACCAGCAAGGACCCAGGCCAGGGCTCGCTCAGCATCCTCCCACCCTTCCCCACCCCTAGGACCCTGAAAAACCCCGGGGCATCTAGGGTCCTGACCACCCCCAGGCTGCTCTGGGTCTCAGGTTTGCGGGGAGTGAGGGGGTTGCATTTGGTCTTATTTCCCAGAATGTCTTCAGGTCAGTCCTTAAAACCCGCCCCCCAGTAAAGGCCTCTCAGCCAAGAAAAGCACCACTCTGGTCCTGGGAATGAGGTGGGGTTTGGTCAGGGCAGCTCAGTGGTAACCCAGGACCCAGGGGTGTGGGAGTCTCAGATGCGCTCTGTGGCCGGGAGCGAGGCTGTCTGGGGAGAGACACGGTTATTTTTGCTTTATGAGGTTAGGACTTCCTGATGGGACGTGTTTGGAAATGCAGGAAGTGCGTGGGCTGGGCTCGGGGAACGTGCCTCTGAAAGCTCCCTTCCCCGGGCACGAGGGCACTTTCCAGCCGGGAGAGGAGGAGCTGGGGCTGGGGCCGGGGCCTGGGGGTGTTGCCGCTTTGTGGCAAGCTCGATGGTCCTCCGCAACGTCGCCTTTCTCAGAAGGAGAAGATGTGCACAGTTCCCCAAAATGCAGATTTTTCAGGAAATGGTCTGAGGTGCTAAGATCCATGGAAATCACAGGCATGAGCAAGGAGATAGAAAACAAAATGAGAGAGTGCCATGGAGGGGGGGGGGGGCTCCTGAGGTTGCCAGAGGGGCCGCCATCTCAGCCCTGTGACAGGTGGGCTGGGAACCTGGACCTGAGCTGGCCCTGCCCACCTGCTACTGTGGCTCAGAGCCACATAGGCCCTTCCTCAGAAGGTTCTGGACACAGTGTATGCTGTGCTGCCTTTTCTCCCGAAATGCAGGTGCGGGCCCAGGACGAGGCCCGTCTGGGCTGGGTTCTGGATCCAGGGAGACGGTGCACAGGACGAGTGAGATGGATGGTCTGCAGTACGTGGCCCAAGAGTGGGCCGTGAGGAACAGACACCCACGGCCAAGGGGACACTACACGCCCTCCCCGGAAGCATCTGTGATCCCCTGGGGTCCCTCAAGCAAACATCTGCTGGAGCCAGAACCCCTCGAGGACTCAACGTCCTGGCGAGCACCTACTGTGTGCAGTTGCTGGGGTGGGGGTGAGGGAGGAGCGAGACATGTGCCTCAGGAGCAGCAGCCAGACACTGCCACCCAGCCCAGCTGTTGGCACCACCCTGAGGACAGCAGTCTGATTCCCTCTCGGGGAGGGTGGAAGTGGTGGGGGCAGGAGGGCCACCTCGTGTTCCTGCCTCAGGTCCCCGCCTGCACCCTGCCTGTGGCTTCGGGGTTCAGGGTCCCTGACACTCAGGAAGGGTCAGGAGGGACTGTGGGGCGGGCAGGCTGGGCAGTCGCCAGGAAAGGAGCCTGGACATTCAGAGGCTGGTCACCCTGGGAGATGGCAGCCGCTCCACCCGCCCTCGGCTGGACTTGAAAGAAGTGAGAACAGACAGAATTCAAAGACGCCAACAAAAGGGCTTCCTGTTGACACCAGCAGACTTTAACTCCTTTCTCCTCGCACCCGCGTTGGCGCCTCGGCGGGTGCTGTGTCCCCCAGGGCGGCAAGCCGACCTCGGAAAAGAAAGTGACGGTGCTGGTGGCTCCCGACTCTTCGATTAGCCTTTTGAAAACTAGGTTTGAGATGCAGAGCCTGTCTCACCGACACCAGCGCCAGCCTCTGGTCCCTGCGATCGCCCTGTGATTTTTCTGGGATTAAAGGTGAAACAGCCACTGTGGACGCTCCTGACTCAGTTTACCAAATCCCATGCAGACTCTCATGCTCATACACGCATGC